CTTAAGTGTAATAGGGCAGTATCCAGACAGCCTGTAGAAACACAGAGCACCAAAGTAACCTAGTAACTTGAATTACAAGCACACTGTTTACATGCTGTGCATTATCTGCAGCTCCTTTTATAACCAGTATTTTTAGTCCCCCCAGAAAATACACGGTTGTGAATTTGTCAGGTTAATGTTCTTATGAAGAGCTTAAATGAAGAAAAATACAGCACCACAGTTATTAAGCGTAGTGAGTCATTCTGAATAAAATAACAGGTTATTTCTGCAAGTTTAATCCCGCAGAACTTCCACTGACAACAGCAGATATTTTGCAGAAGTAACATTTAGCTTTCCACCCATTTGTTCATACATTTTAGAACCATTTTTGTCTTGTGTGTGCATATTTATTAAAGTTATAATCTTTTACTTTAATATACATTTAATATTCACGTTTTAAAAACTGAAGTAGTATGTTTCTTTTGTGAGAAGTACTTGCCCCTGAGTTTTTCTTCTCTGACAGCAGTTTCTACATCTCCCATTTTTTTTTTCAATATTACTATTTCTTCAAGTAGTTTTTTTGATCTGTTCAAAACCAATCTCATCACTTCATACAATGTAGAATATTCCCATCTAGTCTCTTTCAGTGTAAATTTTGAAATGTCACATGCTTTTTGAAATGAAGGTATCATTGTTGTAGAGCCTGCTGTTACAGTACACCTTTGTGGTGGATGTGGCATCTGTATAGTGTTCGAAATCTAGAATTTAATCATTCAGGTTTCTGAGTTTTGTGTTTTGTTGAAAATTTTATTTTCTAACCCACATGACTGGAATTAACTTCCTAAGCATAAAGTAGAAATAAACCCGGAGTTTAAACTTTAAACTTCAAAGTTAGCATGTATTTGTGTCTGTGGCCCTTCTTTGCACACAGACATCTCAAGTGTCTAGTAGAAGTTAATCATGGCATATGAAAGCATGTTTCTGATTTTCTCGTAGTATAGTGAACAGAGAACTGGAATGAAGGTCTCTGGGAAAGGAAAGAAAGTAGAGGAAAGTTGAGGAAAGAAGAATAAAAGGGATGAGGGGAAAAGCAAAAATAAGAGGAAAAGAGAAAAATGAAGGAAAAAAGAGAATTTAAGTAGTCCTTCAATAAGAGTATGTCATCCACTTGGAGATGGTGAATCTGTCTGTATGTTACCGAACGATTTATTAGCATAATTTAAAAAGTTAAGAAATAGTCCTTTATTCACAGTACATGGATGGATGGTTGTACCTGTCTAGTGAAATACAGGAACAGAAATCTCTCCAGTGATTATGAGCTTCAGGAACAAGGCTTTTATTGCTCACAGAATAGCTTAGGTTTGACAGAACTTCTGGCAGTCATCTTGTTCAACTCTGCCTTCAAAGCATGTCCGACAAGACCAGATTGCTTAGGGCTGTGTCCCCATGCTGTATCTCTGAGGGTGGAGATTCTGGCTCTGGGCAGCGTGGCATGGTACCGGACCATCATTACACCCAGCTGGACTTGCTCCACTATATAAATGCCTTTCTTGAAGCAAGGGGCCCAGAAGTGGACACAAAGATCCAGGTTCAGGCTCAGAACTGGCCTGGTAACTGCATGTCTGATGATGCAGCCCTGTATGTGACTGACCTTTCCTGCAAGGGCAAACTGCTGATTAATATTCAAAGGGCTCTCCAGCTCCTTAACTGCAAATCTGTTTTCTAGCCAGTCTATACCATTTCACAGGGTTATTCCAACCCTGGTATAAGACTCTGCAGTTGCTTTTGTTGAACTCCGTAAGGTTCCTGTCAGCCCGTTTCTCTAACCCATTAAAGAACACCTGAGTATGGCCCTGCTTTCCAAAATATTGACTGCTTCCTCCAATTTGATGTCATTCACCAACTTGCTGAGAGTGCACTCCGTCCCATCATCCAGGTGGTTAATAAAGACATAAACAGTGTTGGCCCCAGTGTGGATCGCTGAGGGGAGCTGCTGGTAATTGGGTGCCACTTAGACCTTGTACTGCTGGTCAGAACCCTTTGAGTCTGGCTGTGCAGCCAGTTTCCCTCAACTCTACTTAGCAGGTCCATAGCTCACCAGTTTTTCTTCAAGGACACAAGAGGAGACCGAGTCAAAGGCCATCCTGAAGTCAGAGCTTTCTCTGCCTTCATCATTCTCTGCCTTCCCCTCCCTTGTCCACTGTGCCAGAGTTGCCCTTGATAAATCCATATGGGATACTAGTAATCGCCTTGTCTCTCAAGTGGTTGGCAATAGCTTTGAGGAGGTTTGCTGTATAACATTCCCAGGGACAGAAGTGAGGCTTATGGCTACCTGAATCTTCTTCTTGCCCTCCTTGAAGATACGTGTGACATTTTCATTTTTCCAGTCATCAGGAACCTGCTCTGTTCATTGTGATGTTTCAGTGATAGTAACATCTGTCATTTCCCTCAGCACCTTGAGGTACATCCCACCTGGTCCTCTTGGCTCCTGTATGGCCAGTTGGGCTCAAGAACTTCCTAACTGTCTTCCTTTAAAGCAGGTGTTGCTCCAGTCCCACAGGAGGCTCAGGGACCTGGGAGGCCTGAGGGCAAAACTGATCAGTGAAAACTGAGGCAAAAAAGGTCTCAAGTACCTTGGCTTTTTTCATGTTCTTTGTCACTAGATCCCTTTTTCCACCAGGCAGTGGATCCACGTTTTCCTTAGCCATCCTTTTATTGTCTCTTACGGTCAATCATATTCTAGTATTGTCAGGTGGTTCATTTCTCCAACGGGCCCACTGTAGGTAAGCAGCAGCTCATACAGATATTCAGAAACAAGGCACGAGTAATGTATAGAAAATTCTGAAGGCAACAGAAAAGATTAATTGAATACTTCAAAGTAAAAGTACAGAATTATATCCTGAAACTTGAGGGCGAAAGTTTCCAATTAATTGGAAGAAATTTTCACACAGTGGAATCACGTGTAAAAATTACTTTTACCATTGCAATAGTCTCTGTTGACCTCAGTGGTGAATATTAACATTGAAGGAACCTTTCAACCTTCTCTAATCCCTTTTTAAAATGCACTTGCAGACATGGGAAATTCCTTTTTGTCCTTTCCCATCTTATGACTGAGTGCACTCTTGCATGTGAAATCTCTGTGTCTGAGTGACTATTTGTCACAGGAGGAATAAAAACTGGAAAGCATGCCACAATGTCTGTACTCTTTAAGGTCATTTGAGAAGAGTAGAAGGAAATAACTTAAAATTACTTTTCGAAGAAGGGGAAGGATTTTTTACTTTATTTTTCTTTTTCACTTATAAAACCTGATTTACTTCAGTGAATATTGTCTGCATTGGAAGCACTTCTGATGAAGAATCATTTTTGTGTGTGGCACGCTTATAGCTGTGCCTATCAACTCCTACAACTTAATTTGAATTTATTTTATGAATGTGTTGTGTGTGTTTATGCAGGTGGTTTTTGTTTATATGAAAAAAATTATATGCAAAATTGAACATTTTTCAGTAGTTCTGAGTGAGCGTTCTGTATACATGCAAGTGCATCTGACTGTGTGTTAAACAGCTGGTACTAAAAATGTTTCTATAAGTAAACTGCATTTAAGTCCTCAAAGAGGAAGCTTTTCAGCAATCTGAACTTTACGTATAATAAACAAAATAGTAACAAAATGCACTTAAGCCACAGCCCTTTAAATGAGTAAAAATAATATTTGAAGGGTTTTTTTCATAGCTGTGGCTGTTGCATTTGGCAGTTATTCAGGAAATGTTAGTTCTAATATTCAGACCATCATTTCACATAGTACTTATTCCTATCGGTAGTTCCCCCAAAAAAGAAATGTGTTTTTGAGTGAACACTTCGTGTTACTTAGGCCCTGGTTTGTGCTATTTGCAGAATTCCTGCTGTGTATAATAAGATGCCCTTCATGTAAAGGCCTGTGGAAACTGCAACTATTGGAATTTTTGATAAGCTGGTGAGCAGTGAAATATCATCCCGTGCAGCATCCTGTGCCTGTCAGGCACAAGAGAGCACAGAACCATGGGCAAGACCTCAGCTGGGGCAGACATGCCCTTTGCTGGTTGCCTCCCCTGCCTGCTGCCTCCAGCTTGCTGCCTGGAGGTCACCACCATGACAAATCCACCATGGAGCAGGTTGTCCCTACCTGAGGTGACCTTTTTTCTTCCCCTTCTCCATCCTAGGAAGTATTTTTCTTCTAGAATTTCCCATATCCATGCCTTTGGCATTGATTCTTCTGTGGCCTCTCCTGTTGTCTTTAATACATAGTTTGTTTTTCAGGGTGTTTTATCTTGAGGAAGACAGGCTTGGTATGTGGATGAATCACACTAGTTTATGTTCACAAGTTCAGTCTAGGTACCTGGTCATTATAAAAGGTGCTTGAGTCTCAAATTAGACGCAACCGTTTCCAATGAGTGTTTAGAAACTTAATAAATGTCTTGTGCTGTGATTAAGGTGAGGACCCTAAAGAAAGTTATCTGCAGGGCCATGGAGCCCACTGACAAGGGGAAGTCAAATCTAGCTGCCAACATTCCCATCTTAAATACTGCAGTCTGTTGGTGATCTGCTAACACCTTATGCCTGGGTAAATACTAGGAGCTTAACTTCATAAGTGAAGTGGTTTCCATACCAAAGGTAAAATCCTTACCATTTGTCCATTTGAATCAAAGAGGTTTCATTCTGATGTGGGAGACTACTGCTGATCTTTTTCTGTGCTACATTTTATGGGAACAGTCTGCTATTAGACTAAGAATTTGCTTTCTCTGCTGTGTCCAGTCCTAAATGTGTGGAAATAAGATACATTTTGCCACCTGTTCTTATTATTTGCTAAAGAATCTATTATCCTGAATGCTGCAAGTTATCTAATCATTGGTTCCCAAGGAATACCTTTGTTTTTCCAAGTTTGTATTAGATTTTAATTGTTAAGTACTTCAGATTAATTGCATCTGATTGTTCTACACTACTGCTGCTGGTATCATTCTTGTTAACCCTCTGTATCTTTCTTTTTGCAGCTTGGGTCCTGTGTTTGCACTGTTTGTACCATTTTATTCCTCCATTCCAAGAGTGCAGGTTGCACAAGTATTTGGCCACTTTCCTATCACAAACAAGACACTGGTCTACATACTGGGTTTACAGGTATGGTATGTACTTGCATGTTCATTTTTTAATGAATTGCTGCAGTAGCAGTTACTATTTTTGTATGTTCATCTATGAATTTTGATGCTTCCATGTGTATGATTACACATATGCTTAGGTAGGGATTGTCAAATCAATTAGAACATTGAAAAACATTTTGCTAGGATGTGCTTCTAGGTGCTGAAATGGTGGACGAGTGATCTGTTCTTCTGTTGTCTTTCGTCTTGTTTGGCTTGCCCAGGAAAATAGATAGTTCTACAATTATTTTTTTTTATTTTGGTCAACAAAATGAACTAGATGCAAATAAATGAGAACAGAACTTGATCCTAAGATACAGGTATCTTTCACCTTTCTAATATGCTTCTGTTCTTGGTTTTGTTTATTTTCCCTTTGTCTGCCAGAGCTCAAACAAAGCTATAAAATATTCTTCTATGGTAAGACTGTTGGTAAATAAGATTGTCACTAAATTCCACTTTTATATAAATTAAAATTACTTGCATATCAAGCATTACCATGTGACAGGTAATGTAAAATAGCGCGATGTAGGGCACCATAATATCATGTAGTATTATGTTAGATTAGAGTGGAAAAATACAGGTGCTTGGTACAGAAATGCACTAGTTGTTTGAAAACAATAACAACAAAAAAACCCCAGCAGCCTAGAAATGAATGGACACACATGTCACAACCTGAATTATGAAACAGGAGATGTGCAAGCTTATGAGAAATTATACTCATTTTTATATATTCCAGGGACTCAAAAATAGCTCTGGCACTAGGCACGGAAAGCACCATAGCTGTGTGAGGTGTGGTAGAGTATTTTAGAATGAATGGTCAGTTTCAGAATATTGAGTCTTCTCAGCGTGAAGGGTTCATTCATCCCTCTTGCTGTTCAGCCCTTGGATTCCTTCAGTTTCTGCTCCAGCATCTTGTTTTCTTGATCTTTCCATAATCTTGTTTCCTCTCTTCTGAACCCACCAACACTCTGCTCGGCGCTGTCTCCTGGCTGGACCTGTCCCCGCTGCCTACAGAACGGTTGCTGCCGTCACACAGAGGCTGAGGGGGAAATCATTTGCCTGCTCCTCATTTGTAAACTCTGCCCTTATCTAAAGTCACTCTGTAGTCAGAAGGCTCGAGGGAAGGTGTTCTCATGATTCAGTCAGCATCATGCAGAACTCTTTTAGTAACCAGTATTGGTCTGATTTTCAGCCCATTTCTCCAGTTGGTAATAACCTTCTCCAGGTCATTAATCACATGCTTTACTCGAAACGATGGGCTGCCCTGTTAGCTTATCAGCAATTTTTTAGAAATTCACTGGGACCTGTTTCTGTGATTTCATGTGGACAAATGTGCTACTGGGTGAGAACTTTATTTCTTTCATTTTGATGCTCATGCTTAGTCTCTTGGTGACTGCACGTCTGAGAGCTTCACTTGCACTGCCTGACATGCTTGGAACTCTTCTCCTGTTGCTGCTGAGTCATTTCCTTTACTTCAGTCCATCTTTCAGACTTGTTTTTCTGTGCAGCCTATAACTGACATCCGGTTATACTTGGTATGCTATAGGAAAATAAAATGTATTGTTCTATAGAAGGAGAACAATTGTTGGAGCCGTGTGTTTTTCCACTTCTGCTACTTATGGAATACATATTTTTTTAATGTTAGACTGAATTTTCACAGAGGTGAATGTCTGACTTCTCCTGTTATCATGAGAAGTACATAGCCTATATAATATTGCAACACAGTGTTTCAGGCAACAGCAGCTGTGTAAAATTACAATTTTAAATCACTGCTCTTGTCTTCTAGCTCTTAACCTCTGGTTCCTACATCTGGATTTTAGCCGTAAGTGGATTGGTAAGTCTTACTGTTTTAAAAATCATATATTGCTGCATATTTGCACTCAAAAAGAACAGAAATTATTGAGTTTTATATTTTTATTTTTTGACGGTAAGTCTTTGACTTCCAGAGTTCTAAAGAACTAGCTGGCTGGTGATAAACTGGCACACCACAAAAGAATTGGGTAATATTTGCAGGATTCCACTGCTCTCTGGACTCCTAAAATTAATTTTTCTTCCATGGATATAGCTGTGGACCCACAAATTTCAATGAGACTATCAAGGAAATGGTACAAATGTTTTCAACAACTTTGCTGTGAGGATCTTGCATATTTTGTAGCTCTCCTAGGACATCTGCAGTACAGCTGTTTCTCACTATGGTCACAACAGTACAGGTGCAAAATTACTTTCTTCACACCAGTCAGATAAAGTCGTCATGATCTGTCTTTTTCCTTTCTGATTCTGTTCTTAGTGGTAAGGCACTTAGTGCTACACCAGGTTGTACTCAATCTTCCAGACTGTTAGATACTGATAAGCTGCTTCTCAAATTTTACAGACTTAGAAATTAAGAGCGCAGGCACTGATTTCTTGGCCCAAAATACTGTCTGCTTTTCAAACAGTGAAAGTGCCATCTCTTCCAGAGAAGCTCATTATTAAGTTGGTGCAATCTTTAGAAGAACTTAAATTGTGCTCTTGCTATTTAGTACCTAATAATTTAAAGTGAGATCAGAGTGAAATGCCTGTGGACATGTCACATATTGCTGCTATAACTCAGTAGTTTGGTCTCTTACCATTTGCATTGACTATTCCAAAATACTCTGTGAGCTCACAGGATAACCAGCAGGAAATGAAGTCTGTTCAGCAGTTTGGTCTGACAGTAAATATTGATAAAAACAGTGCAACTAACAAATGAGACTTTCTCTCTCCTGGAGATCAGGCCAAGCCCCTGTGCCCCCCTAAAGTTCTGACTTCTTCCAAACACACTGCCCTTCCTGTTACTCTTCTGGCTCTTTTAATAGCCTTTCCTTTCGAACAGGTGTTCACCAGAGAGGGAAGGAAGGGAAAGGAAAGAAGAGGAAAGGCATTTTAACTCTCTCTTTCCTGGTGGCAGGAGCTGTATGTATACCTAGTATACAGACTTACAAAAAAGGCTCTTTTGTTTTTTATGATACGTTATGCATTTCTTCTTTTAATTCTCCTTTAATGTGCAGTTTTATTCAGCTGTATAATGCAACTTCCTTAGAATTCTTTTTCATAAATGACCTGGTTTTTTAATTGCAGGTTGACAGTATGTTTTACATAGCTGTAAGTCCATACGAATAAATTGATAGCTCTCTGTGTCACGGGAAGGCTTAAAAAAACCCAAAAATTTCATATTGCTTCGGTCAGCATCAATTGTCATCATCAATGATGATGTGTTTTCAGTACTATTTTTTTTCTGCAGCAAGTGGAGATCTACACTCTACCATTTTGTAATAAGTGCTGTGATTTGGGAAGATGCTCATGTTATGAATTTCAGCCATTTTTTGCACAGCATATCTGTCACACTTCTGTGGATAAGAAGTCTTTTTTTCTCCTCTGTTAGAAGTGATAGTTTGGTGTCTTTTGAGAAAACTCGATAACAAAGTAAGTTTTCACAGTATATCAAATAATCTGAAGAGGGATATGAAACACTATAAAGTCACCATTTAGCACTACAAGTGTATTTATCTGATGACATATGTATATATCTACAATTACAGAAATATGTAGGTTGTCAAATCAATGTTAAGTCTTCCCAGCAACCTATATATTTTTGTAATTCTTACTGCTCTTGACATTTTCTAACATACTACATCTTTGTTGAATTAGATTTTCGTGTATTTGTACAAAAAGGGTGTGTAAATGCATGAACACCAAGTTGGCTAGATGTAATATTTAGTCACTAGTTCATTGCCTGTTAGACACTCCACTGTCTGTATTTTTAGCTCTAAAGATCACTTAGACACTCATATGATTGTATGTGATGCTGTTCTGCAATTCAGCTTGTGTGAGTTATTAAAGAGGATGGTGCAAGCACAATTTCTAAATTGTTGTCACTTTCCACTTTCTCTTCACCATATTCCTGGTTTTGGATTATTAAAAGTCTCACAATTTATATTTTAATGTGAAATGGACTCTCTCAGATTAAACAGGATCTGACTTTCCAGGTACAAGATGTAGCACTGGAGATCGATTTCTCTGTTCCTCCATGCTGGTGCTGTTAGACTTCCTTGTGAATTCCAGGCATGTTGCAGAGCAACTGGGCATTGTACTGCCTTGAGTTCTTGTCTTCAGTGGCTTTGAGCAATGTGGTTCTTACAGAAATGTGTTTGTGTGTGTGTATAAGTCTATGTATGCAGGTAGGCTTTGATGTAACGTGCTGGTGATAGGGAATTTTAGACTATTCGTAGTTGGACACTGGATGTTTTTCAGTCACTGAGATTACGGCATGTGATTCATTATTGGAATACAAAAGATCTAGTGTGTCTTATCTTTGCATTACATATATCTTTCTAGTTCTCTAATTTTGAATCAACATAGGAATACACTCCTAAAGGAAGCTGCTTTACTCTCTAGTGGAAACTGGACTACCTCTCAATTATAGTTCTTTTGGTATGTCAGTATGGGCTTGGTAATTTCAGTTGCTGGTATGTTATGTAAAACATGCTGGTTTAATTCATGATGCTTATTTACAAAAAAAAAGGGAGAATTCAAGAAGTAAACTGTAAACAAATTCACAAATCTGATGTGATCAGTAATGTGTAATGTTATTCTTATAATTTATGAGACTAATTTAGTTTCTTGTTGTCTGTTTTGCCAGGAATTTATGATACTTGGTACATAGATTCTAGATTTGTTTCTTATGGTAAAGGTTTTGTTTATGTAATCAATTTACAAAACTTATTAGAGGTGCAGCTATATCATGAAAGTCGTACAACTTATTTCCATTTGAATTTAAGCCAGAAATTCTTGCAGTAGTTGCTTACAGAAGTGTTTTCATATAATGCAGATTAGAAACAGTTTCCCTACTATTTTTTTTCTTTCAAACAGTCAAAACACCTTAGAAAATGGTTCGCACTTGAACATGTCATTGGCCATAAGAACCCATCTTCTCTTGCTTTTTTCCCCCCTTTAAAGTCTCTTGAGCTCTCACCTTTTATTTCTCGTTGCTATACTCTTGCAGGATTGAGATTTGAGGGACACGTCAAGGCTCACACAGTCATAGCTACATCATACCTGCTTCAAGAAGTAAGCTCAAGTTGGTGCCAGCAGAGGAGATATGTCTGATGGGACATGCAGTTCACTCATTAGTGTGAGGTTGTCATCACACAGATCACATGGCAGGGTTTCTGCTAGCCATGTAGCTGCAGCTGTGTTTCTTAGGGAAGAGGTATCCTTCAGGCCATTTAGGTGATTCTGAGTGTTGTAGCCTCTTTCTTCCTATCTAGTGTCATTTCTTTCTTTGTTTGCAAGGTAACCTGCATTGCATAAAATTCAAAATTTGGAATGCCACAAGTCTTCTGTGAACTGCGTTGAATTTGAGTAGAGTTCAGTTCAAACCTCAGGAAACTGAAAGTGTCTTAACCTTACAAATGCTGAAGTTTATAAAACAGTTTAGTTGGCAGATTTCACTAAGCCAAATGCACCAGCCTTCTGCATTGTTTCTGTGCTACACTGTGATTTCCTTCTCTCAGGTTAGAGGTAGGGTTGTGCTTTTTATACTTTCGACACTGGAAAACGCTAGAGTAATCTGTAATTTAAAGCAGGTATTTTAAAGGCATCAGGTTATGATAGAAAGTTCAGACAGTGTTGAGTGCTTGGTTTTAATTCAGTTCTGATTTTTCAGTGCTGTAGTTCTTATTCATAACTTTGAAGTTGCTAACTTAGTTTTATATAGATGAGAGTCATCTGTTGTGAAACACTTCTGAGCCTACTTTGGATTGTTTTGAGTTCAGTTTGTTAAGAACTTTATTCATCATTATTCATTCAGCCGAGGTGTTTTTCTAGTACATTCCTGTCCTTTAGGATAGGCGTTTAGAGGATAAGATGTGATTGGTCTGGCGAGCAAAATATTTAAAACAGACTTAAATTTTTTTAAGTTCTTGCCTTAAAGATAATATTATGTAGTTAATATCTAATCAGATCTAAGAAACTTGAGTTGTGATTTCTGAGTATTTGACATCATTGATTCTACAGTGTAACTATCAGGAGTATTGCGTGTATCTGTGAGACTGCTCACTTAGTAAAAATTCTGCCTATGCTCTAGTACTTTCCTAAATAAAAACATATCTTTCATATGTAACCCATGTGATACCCCTTTGCTGATAGAACTGCCCACCAAAGTACTAAGGCAGTTCACAGACTCACTGAGATTGTCATCTGGTCCAGTCTCCCTGCTCAGGCAGGACCACCTAAAGATAGTTGCCCAGGATCGTGTCCAGTCAGCTTTTGACTATGTCCAAGGATGGAGACTCCACCAGCTCCCCTGCCAGTGCTCAATCACCTTCACAGTGAAGAATTGTTTTGTGATGTTCAGAGGGAACCTCCTGTGGTTTTGTTTTGCCCGTTGCCTCTGGTCCTGTCACTGGGCACCACTGAGAAAAGCCTGGCTCCCTCCTTTTCATTCTCCCCCTTCCGGGATGTATATACTCCCATAAAATCCCCCCAAGCTGTCTCTTTTCCAGGCCAGACAGCCACACTTCTCTCAGCCTCTCCTCATGTGAAAGATGCTGCAGTCCCTTCATCATCTTCTTGGCCTTGCGCTAGACTTGCTCCACCAAGTCCATGTCTTTCCTGTGCCAGGGAGTGCAGAACTGGACACGGTATTCCAGGTGCAGCCTCACCAGTGCTGAGACAAGAGGGAGGATTGCTTCTTTCACCTGCTGGCAGCACAGTTCGGGAGGCTCAGCACAGAGATTGTGCAGTGCATAGCCTGACGTAAGAAATGGAAAAGCAATAGAATAACAAAGATGAGGGAATGAAAAGGAAGCATTGCCT